GACACCCTACTTCAAAAATACACAAGTGGTGGTGAGAAATGGGCACTGGTGGAGGAATGGGTATTTGATCATTGTATAAATGAAACCCAAGCACAAAAATCTGTAAGTCTACAACTGTACGTCAAGATGTCTCACTAATAATAAAAAGTTTAAAAAAAATACACAAGTTGTGGAGGAGGCCCCCCACACTGCAGGGAATACACACACATATGTACCAGTTCCAGGGAGGGAGGTGGGTACAAACATGGTTGTGCGGTGTTAGATTTGTAAAGATTAAGATTAGGTACATGAACCACCTGACTCCCAGTTGTGTTGGAGCATAGAATTTAAATAGGAGGCTTAATAAATGGAATTCAAAAAAGCAAGTGATTACAGCAAGGAAACATTATGGAGCTGCTGCTTCACGGACACACTTCAGAAAAAGAAACTAGAACCCAGCACCTCCCATAGTCCCCAAGCCTACAAGTAGTGATCCCTGAGTACAAAGTCAAGAATAAGCCCTGAATACTGCCAGGTGTTACCCCAAAACTACACACACACACACACACACACACACACGTACATGTATACGTATACATATATAAATGTATACATGTGTGTATGTGGGTATGTAGGTATGTATGCATATGCACAGTTCGTACGTTTTTCAACACTCAGCAAGGGCAAAATCTGTTAGAGCTTGCCTGCCTAAATTCAAATCGTACCTTAAGGGGTACTGCAGTGCTGACCTGGGTTCACTCTCTGACAACCCATATGATTTCCTGAGTCAACCAGGAGTGATCCCTAAGTGCAGAGTCTGGAAAAATCCTGAGCACCACTGGGTATGGTCCAAAAAAAACAAAAAATGAAATTAGTATGCTGTGAAATTAAATCAGCAAAAAGACAACAAATAAAAATAAGCAACATGTCAGGAATGAACACCACCACCCCCCCCCAATCAGTAAGACAATGAAAGAACTGGAGGTCACATCAAAATATTTCAAGGTAGGTGGGGACAGTAAGGGCTATGCTATAGGCTGTGCTCCGGAAGGGCTCAGAGGACCATATGATGTGGGAGATCTAACAGGGGTCCGCCATGTGCAAAGCAATCACCTTAAACACTGTACTCTCTCTCAGGCCCTAAATTGCATTTTTTTAACTAAATATATAGGCAGACTGGGGCGGGAAGGAGTAGGTGGGTGGCTGGGAACATTTGGAAATATATACTGATGAAGGGATAGGTGTGGAACATTGTATGACTGAACTCCAATCATGAACAACTTTGTAACTGTATTTCTCAAGGTGATTCAATAAAATAAAAAAAAGATATTTAGCGAGAGCAGCAAGCTACCAAGAGTATCTCGCCCACACGGCAAAGCCTGGAAAGCTCCCCATGACGTATTCGATATGCCAAGCACAGTAACAAGTCTCACAATGGAGAAGTTACTGGGCCCGGTCGAGCAACTCGATGAACAATGGGAGGACAGTGCTACAATTTAAAAAAAAAATTTTAAATCACACAGTAGGAGCCTGGCAATGGATTCACTGCTACAGTCTGTTGCTAATAAGGGTCCATGAGTTCAATATTTGAAATCTTGCTTTCAGATCCCACTATCACCACTTAATCTATACCCCTATCTTCACCTACACCACAATCTTCACCCCTAAAATGGGAGAGTTCTTACAGCTAACAGAACAAAATAAATAATACACGTAAAGTGCCTGATGCCAAGTTCAGCACTAGCAATTATTGGATACTGCTAACCTTATTGTTCTACCATCTTTCTCTAAAGTGTTTTCAATAAGCTCAGCCTAGTTTGAAAACAGATTTACCTTAAAAAATGTCAGGCTGATTTACCAGCACAGCCTGGTCTCACTCTGGCACTGCCAAGAACAGTCCTGTTGGATCCCAGCAAATCTCTATTAGACTCCCTTGCAAAATGATTTTTGTTTGTTTCTGAGCCACATCTGGCAGTGCTCAGGGCTTACTCCTAGTTCTGTGCTTAGGGATCATCCTTGGAGAGAAGGAAGACCACACATGGTGCTGGGAACTGAACCCAGATTGGCCGCATGCAAGGCAAGCACACAAGGCAAGCACCCTACCCACTGTACTATCTCTCTGGCCCCAAAAGCCACATTTTTAAAAATGTGAAATAGAGCAAAAGCACAAAATGCTGACACAAAGCCTAGAGTTCTATACAGGTAACAAACAGATCCTTGAACATTACTAAGAAATATTTCATTGCATATTTTGTTTCATTGAAATAAAAATGAATTTATTTCATTGAATATTTTATTTCATTGAAATGAATTTATTTCAATGAGTATTTTATTTCATTGAAATAAAAATGAGTATACTGAAGTAGAAACATCGCTAGAAAATGGTATCAAAATGGGAATGGCAAGGCAGTGCAATGAGTAAGGCCTTGCACAAGGCCAACCCAGGGTTTGATCCCCAGCACCACCTGACACGATCCATGAGCAGAGCCCCGGAGAAAGCTCAGAGCAGCTGGGTATGGCCCATAAAACAAAAAACTCTAGGGCTGGAGGGACAGAACAGTGGAGAAGGTTCTAGTCCTACTCACAGCCAACCCGGGTTTCACTCTCTGACACCCATATGGTTCTCGAGCCCACCATAAGGAAGCCCTGAAAAATGCTGGGTGTGGCCCCAAGCCTCTTCACTCCATCTAAATTAAGATATAATCCATTAACGGTGGTGATCCGAGTCACTGATCTAAGTAATTTCTCTAGCTTATTTATCTGTAAAACTGGCATGCCTTTTTTTTTGGGGGGGGGGATCTTTTTTTTTTTTTGGTTTCTTGGGTCACACGCGGTGATGCATGGGGGTTACTCCTTCCTGGCTTTGCACTCAGGAATCACTCCTGGCAGTGCTGGGGGACCATATGGGATGCTGGGAATGGAACGCGCCTCGGCCGTGTACAAGGCAAACACCCCACCCGTTGTGCTACCCTCCAGCCCCGGCTTGCAGTTCTTAACAAACTCCAAAGATATTCTGAAGGTATGATTTAAGTCTAGAAACGAATCAAAGTACAATGATCTTGTACTAAACCATACATGTCACTAGGAAATGCTTGTGAGAGATGTGGGTCAACGGTAAAGCTGGAGACGCCATAGAAGACACAGTCTTTCACTAAAAATCCCACCCTTCCTAAACTGGTAAAGGTAAAGGTAAAGGCCCTCCCGTTGATCGTCGATTTGCTCGAGCGGGCCCAGTAACGTCTCCATTGGAGACTTTGTTGTTACTGTGTCTGGCATATCGAATACTCTCGGTAGCTTGCCAGGTTCCTAAACTGAGTGGAAACAAATTAGAACTGTTCGAGTAAATGCTAATATCTGGTCCGTAGTTACATTCTGGCCAGAAGACAAATCTTCCCGTTTAAAATGATTTAAAGAACTCAAGATGCCAAATTTCTGATACTTGGCCGCCTAAACTTCATGACAAGATCACGGATTCACGCTTCGCAAGACTTCGAAATCCTCTCAGCTGGTGTTACACTTTTTAACCGGTTTCTTCCTAAACTAGCGTTTCTGCTGTAACGCTGAACTTTCCTCCCGAGTCACTCAGCGTAGTGGGGTACTTGGCAGGGTCACGCTGATCGTCAAAGTGAAGCGAACCGCAATCGATTCCACGGTCCTTTTGCACGAACGCTCGAACCTTGAAGCCCGGTGGCTTCTGACTGTTCTCCAAACAGCCCTGAGAAGTGTCGGTATCAAGTCGAGGTCTTTGCAAGCTCTCTCTTAAAAACAAGGAAATCCCGGTTTCCCTCAGTTTCCTAAAACGCGCAACTCCGTTTAGTTCTTCCGTGTGAACAGCCCTCTCCACCGAGGCAGGGCTGACTCCACCAACTGGGCAAGGGGGGCGTCCGAGGGCGTCCGAGGGCCGGAGGCCGGGAGAAGGGCCCCGTCCCAGGGCAACTGACCTCTCGGCCACCACTCAGGAGCCACAGTTCTGGGTCTCCGGAACCCTTTCGGGCTCAAGCCGGCCTGTATTCCACAAGTGAGACTCGAAACTGACGCGGGGGCCGGAGGAGAGCCCCGAAGCGCGAGCGTGCAGGCCCCAGACGCCAGCGGGACGCGGTCTCCCCCGCGGCTCGGGCTCCCTCGGCGCCGCCGAAGCTCGGCCCCTCGCGGGAAGCAGCCGCCCCACCCCGAGCCCAAGCCCAGCGCGGCTGCCCCGAATCGGCCCGCGCTCCGCTCCGGGGAGCAGACGCCGCCAACGGCGCTTGGACACCGACCGCGCCTCGACGCCCGGCGACTCTCCTCCGCCGCACCTGGGGGACTCGGGCGCCCGTTCGGCCGCGGCCCGGCCCACCCCTGGAACGCGCCGCTGCCTCCCCCGACCCCCGCGCGCCCGCCCGCCCGCAGCCGCGCGGCCGGGCCCTCGCGAGCGGCCAAGGTCACGCAGCGACTCGGCGGCCGACGCAGAGTCCGAGGCGAGGGGCCCGGCCGCCGAGCAGCCGCGTCGGGCTCGGGCGCTCCCGCTCCCGCTCCCGCGCGCGCCCGACGGCTTCCTGCCCGGCCCGGCTCCCGAGCGGCGGCGGCGGCGGCGGCGGCCCGGACTCCCCGCCGAGGGCCGGCCCGCGGACCCCCTCGGCCCCCGAGTCCCCGCCCGGGGGCGCGGCTGGCGAGCGCCCGAGGAACGTCGGCGGCCCGTCGGGCGCGTCTCGGACCCGCGCGGACCCGAGGGCGCCGGCCCCGACGGGCCGCGAAGCCGCGAAGCCCCGGGCCCGAGTCGCTCGTCCTCCCGGGCGCCCGGACCTCGACGGCGCGGCGCGGCGCCGAGGGGGACGCGGCGCGGGGGGCGTTTCCCCGGCCCGGCCGGGGGGCGCGCGAGCAGCCCCGAGCCCCGACGGGGGCCCGCGCGCCCGGGCACCCCCGGCCCCGCGTCTCGGCCCCTTCCCCCCTCCCCCGCCCAGCTCGCCGCGGGCCCGGACGGGGCGAGCAGCGCGCGGGAGACGCGCGGCGACTCCGAGGCGCGGGCGCTCGGCGCGGGCGCTCACCAGGTTGAGGGGTCCGTCCATCACCTCCATAGGCCCCGGGGCCCGCGGAGGCCTGCGGACGGCGAGCGGCGGCGGCGGCGGCGGCGGCGCCGGGGCACATGGAGGTGGCGGCGGGGAGGCGCGGCGCGGGGCTCGCGGCGGCCCCTCTCGGCGCCGGGAGCAGCGGCCGCGCCACTTCCGCCTCGCGCCGCGCACGCGTCGTGACGTCACGCGGCCGCCCAGGTGGGAGCGCGGGCGGGGCGGGGCGGGCGGGGCGGGCGGGGCGGGGCGCGCGTCGGGGCCGCCTCCCCGGCCCCCACTCGTCCCCTCCCGTCACTCTAGCCCCGCCCCCACTCGCCCCGCCCGTCACTCCCAGCCCCGCCCCCACTCGTCCCCGCCCGTCACTCTAGGCCCGCCCCCACTCGCCCCCGCCCGTCACCCCCAGCCCCGCCCCCACTCGTCCCCGCCCGTCACTCTAGGCCCGCCCCCACTCGCCCCCGCCCGTCACCCCCAGCCCCGCCCCCACTCGTCCCCGCCCGTCACTCTAGGCCCGCCCCCACTCGCCCCCGCCCGTCACCCCCAGCCCCGCCCCCACTCGTCCCCGCCCGTCACTCTAGGCCCGCCCCCACTCGCCCCCGCCCGTCACCCCCAGCCCCGCCCCCACTCGTCCCCGCCCGTCACTCTAGCCCCGCCCCCACTCGCCCCGCCCGTCACTCCCAGCCCCGCCTTCCTCCTCGGCCTGCCTGGAGGGTTGCAAAAGAAGAAAACCGGAGCTCCCCGCACGGGGCGCGCGACGGCGCCCTCCCCCCACCGCCCGGGAAATGGACGAGGCGGATTAAATGCGCTCTCCCCTTCGGTGGGCTTTCTAAAAGAAGTTATGTGGATGGTCCCGCCCCCCGCAGTCGCCGAGTCTGACTGCGGTCCGGTTCTCGAGGATGCGCCAGATCTCTGTGCTAGACTGTTCCTGTTCCCGTCCTCACCCCCACCCCCAAATATTCATTGGAACGATTGTACAGTGAGCAGTGAGCTGGCCTTGCACTTGGCTGACCCGGGTTTGATCCTCGGCATCCCATTTGCTCCCAGGAGCCCGCCACCAGTGACACCTGAGTGCAAAGTCAGGACTCAGGCCTGAGCACGGCCAAAAACAGACAAGACAATTTGCCACAAAGAACAATAGTGATTTATGCCGCGAAGGGAAAAAATAGGCACCTCCCGCAGATAGAATTCCATGAATTCTACAGCTCCGAGGGCGGGAGTTCCTTTTTGTTTTGGTTTGGGGACACACCCTGCGCCCTTTGAGCTACCGCTGCGACCCAACAGGAGGCTTAGTTTTGCATAGTTTAGCTGATCTAATCACACGTTTTCTGTAGCATCATGATAATACAATTTCTTCTGAAAAGCTTATTTCAATTGTGATTTTGGTTTAATTTCGGGGTTTGCTTTTAAATTTGGGTTTTGGAGCCACACCCAGCAATGCTCGGGGGTAACTTCTGGCTCTCTACTCAAGAATCACTCCTGGTGGTGACTGGGGAATCATCTGGGATGCCTGGGACCCAACCTAAATCAGCCAATGCAAGGCAAGCCCTTACCCACTGTACTACAGCTCAGCCCTTTTGCTGTGTTCTGTTCTGTTCTGTTCTGTTCTGTTTTGGGGGCCACACCCTGAGGGACTCAGGGCATACTCCTGGCTGTGCCTTCTGGAGTGACTCCTGGTGGTGCTTTCCGGACCTTAAGGGATGTAGTTTCCTGAATGAACCCCAGGTGAGTGTAAGGCAAATGCCCTACCCACTGTACTATCTCTCCAGCCCCAAAAGTGATCTTTAAAAAAAAAAAATGATTTTTTATTTAAAGAATCGTGATTTACAAAGTTATTGATAGTTTGGTTTAGATCAATACCAATCCTGCCACCAGTGTCAACTTTCCTCAACCAGTCTGCCCATATGAGTGAGTGTTCTGCATTTTTCTGTTTTTGTTTTGGAGTCATACCCAGCAGTACTCAGGACTTAACTCCTGGCTCTGCACCCCATTGATTATTCCTCATAAGGGGAGACATAGAGGATGCTGGGGATTGAACCCAGGTCAGCTGCGTGCAAGGCAAGTATCCTACTTACCATATTATCTCTCCAGTCCCAAAAGTGATGTTTTTTTTTTAATCATTCTTGCCGGGGGCCTACCTGCATTCCATATGAACCCTCAGCCATTCCAGATGTGATCCCTGAGTACTGAGCCAAGAATAAGCCACGAGCATTAATGGTGTAGCTCAAAAACCAAAACTAAAAACGAGTGATCTAGTCTAGGGGCCAGAAAGATAACTCAAAGGGCTGGAGAACATACTTTGCATGTGGAAGACTCAGTTTGTTTTGCCAAGTATTGGGGGTAAGGAGGGAGTAATGAGGGGAGGGAAGTGCTTGAGTACTGCTTGAGTGGTCCAAAGTGCAGTATTTGTGTGTTTGTGGGAAGAAGAACCTGGAAGAGCTCAGTGACTGCTCCTGGACCTGTGCTCAAAGGCTACTCCTGCTGACGCTCTGGAACCATTTGCAGTTCTGGGTCGGGATGGACGAGGCAAGCTTTCTAAAACTGTACTATCTTTACAGCACAGTATAACATTTTTAACTTAAAATAAGTCCTTAATTTTTTTGGGTGATGTGCTTTCTCATTACTGCAATGCTCCCGGGCGGATACATCACATGTGCAACCTTTGTACCCTCGACTCAGCAATCCCTATCAACGTAGCACTGTAGCGCTGTAGCAAGGTCCTCCCTTTGTTCATGGATTTGCTTGAGCGGGCACCAATAACGTCTCTATTGTGAGACTTGTTGTTACTGCTTTTGGCATGTCGAATACACCACGGGGAGTTTGCCAGGCTCTGCCATGCGGGCAGGATACTCTCGGTAGCTTGCTGGGCTCTCCAAGAGGGACGGAGGAGTTGAACCTGGGTCAACTGCGTGCAAAGCAAACACCCTACCCGCTGTGCTATCACTCCAGCTCTTACCCATCGAAGTACTAGACAAAAAGCTGAGGAGATGATAACTCAAAGGGCGAGACTTACTACTTTCCGAGCAGGAGGCCGTGCTTCAATGCCCTGAGCATAGAGTCTCCCCTAGGCACCATGGGGCGGAGGCACCCACAGAGTGTTGCCCAAAAAACAAAGGGGAGAAACTGCGATGATAAAGATACAAAATAACAAAGAGATAGAACATCTCTTTAATCAGAGATATTGTAGAAGTGGTTTCCCTTGGAGCCTGAGAGGTAGTATAGTCGGCACATGACTGACCTCCGCTCCATCCCTGGCATCCTACATGAGCCCTGGAGCACCGCCAGAAGTGATTCCTGAGTCAGAGCCAAAAGTAACCCCTGAGCTTCACTGGGTGTGGTGCAAAAAACAAAAATAAATAAATAAATAAAATGAGGGAATTGATTCCCAGATCTTTTTTTTTAAAGTGGTTTCACTAGTTCTGTACTACTTCAGGTAAAACATAAAGGGATTTGAAAGAGATGCAGTAAAGAGGAAGATTAGGTTCACGACCTGAAGACCCCAGTTCAGGAAAAGAAGGGAGCCTACCCTCTAGTGTTTGGCTTTGTGTTCTCAGTCTCTGTTTTTCCTCTGCACTCAGCACAAAAGGCTCAAGAAGGAGGGAACTGAGGTTAGGTAGACATCAGGAACCTTCTAATAATCCTACGTATCAGTACAACCCACCCTCTGAAGATCCTGTGGGTGTCCTATACGACTGCTGTGCCTGCTTCGTGTAAGCACTAATACGATCTCTTAATTCACACAATCCACAGGGCCTACAAAAGGGGCAATAACAGGGGGAGCAGCAGTGACAATGGCCTTGCGAGTGCATGGCAGTAACCACTTGTTAAGACCAATTTATACAGCAATGTCAAGACTGGCGAGCAAGGACCCAGGACAGAGAACTGGCATGGTCACGCCTGAGTCACCACCAGGTTTTCAGTGGTGTTAAGACGGTTGTGGTGGGTGATTCATACATGTCCTGGGAAGGTACATACAGGCATAGCAGAGGTATACACAAAGGGTTACAACAGTAGGAAAGCCATTCACTATCTGACTAGTGCAGTAAGTGTGTGGGTGCTTACAGTTGTAATTTTTTCCATTTTATCATCTTTGAGATAAAGTGATCTCACAACTGCTGCCACCTGGATGGCTGTCATGATAAAGTTATAGTGCTCTGGTAAACCTTAGCCAATTTCTTTCACCAAATTTACATTTTTGTGTATGTACAAGGGTAATATGGGGCAAAAATTTATTGCCATTTAAAGAAACACCTCTTTCACTACACGTATTTTTTTGTTTTTTGTTTTTGCTTGTTACTTTGTTTGGCTTTTGTTTTTGTTTGGGGGGTACACCTAGTGTTTTTCAGGACTTTCTCCTGGCTCTGTGCTCAGTGATGACTCCTGATAGGGTTCAGGCACCAGTTGCACGCAAGGCTATATTATCTCTTGCTTGCCTACTGTATTATCTCTCTGACCCTTATCTATTATTTCTAGGTATATAATTTACCCATTTTAAAAAATGAAGCAAAATTCTGAAGTAGGGCCCAGCCACACAGAAAATAAAACATTAATGTTGGTCTCCTGGTCCTAGTAGAATAAAGAAGATCACACCTTCTATGTGTAAACTCACCCAAAGAGGGGGGCACGGCACACAGCAGCGGTGGCTCTATCTCTCCCGCCGCCCGCGTTCGGTAGTCTCACCCTTCTCCCACCCCAGAGAGGTCGATAGCGATGGTCAGGCAGAGGAAGGAAATGAGGGCCAGGCTGGTTGGTATTAGTAGCAGTTTATTTCATTCCTCTGTCCATCTACACCAGTCTCTCTTGTCTGTCTCTGCTCTCTCTCTCTCCTTCTGTCTCTGCTCCTGTCTCTCTCTCCCATGCTACTTCATTCTCCTTCTCCATTCCCCTTCATCCTCCTTCTCTGGAATCTGGGTTCTGATCTCTCTCCACCCCAGCCCACTCCTACAGTCTAGTTAAATCCTCTCTCCATGAGGAAGTGGGGGAATAATTACACATAGGTGTGGTCACAATCAATAGGGGTAGAAATCTTAGCCTCAGGGAAGGCCGCTCCTAGGACAGATCCTTTCTCAGCAGGAGGACCCACCCTAGAGCAGAATCCCATGGGTGTGCCTCTCCTCTCCTTGTCCAACAAGCATATAAGCATATATGATATAAATCATTGTGTATGGATACAGTAAGAAATATCTTAAACTTATAGAATTGCTCTCCTAGGACCATCTCGATCTCAGACTACAGTGCTCAGGTCAGATAGTCTTTCCCACCCCTAGCAGGATCCTAGTCTCGTCGTTACCTTTGGATCATGACAGCATTTGTTTATGATCAAACTCTTAACTTATAGTTAAGAATCGTGGCACTTTGGCCTGGCCCATTTCGCTGCCAGGGTAGCTTTTGGCTTGCCCTGGGTCCATTCAGTCCCTCGTCGGGACCCTGCTTTTGGGGTGTTAGGAACTAAGGGCAACTGAGGCTTAAGTTGAGAAAGCAGATGCCCGGGAGTGAATAATATTCAAGGCCAATCAAATCCTAAGTTACAAAGCATGATGTTAACGGTCTTCCTGTATCTATACAAAAAGGATATTACTTTAAGGTAAACTGTTCATAAGGCATAAGGAGAGGAGAAAGGCAATATTTCACTCATACATATAAAATCATAGATTTCTGGGAAACTGATCTTACAAATTAACAAAGTCTGATTAAGGGGAAAGCTGATTAACTGGGTGGGAAGGAGAGCATAGGGAAGACTGTTTACATGTAAACACAATGGAAGTGGAAGTGCCTCGGAGCACTGTGATGGGTGTAACCAGATTAATGGGTATAACCAGATAAACCTAAGCTTCTTGTGGAAGAAGGACAAAGCAATGTTACCCTACACTTCTACAAGATCATTGTGGGTGATTTTAATGCCAAGATAGGACCAAAAAGATCAGCCGATGAACTCCACATTGGGACCCATGGCCTAGAATGGAACGAACAGGGTGACAGACTGTCTGAGTTTATCATGTCAACCAAGACCATCCATGGTAACTCACAGTTCCAAAAGGCTGAATCTAAACGTTGGACATGGGAGTCTCCTGGTGAATGGAGACTATTCCACGATGAAATAGACCACATCATATTCAATCAGTGGTTTTGCCTAACTGATGTTGCTGTTGTCCCAAAATTCCAAACAGGATCAGACCACCGTCTCCTTTGTGCAAAATTCTACCTCACAGAACAGGGAGAAAAGAATGCAAAGTTTAAGAAGAGAGCTCCCAGAATGATCACCAACTGGGAGCTCTTTGGCTCTGTTGCGGCAACACAGAAAGATGCTGTCAATGACAACATTGATGAGGAATACGATCAAATGATTCAGCACCTCCACGATTGTGCAAGGAATGCCAAGAAAGAGATAACCACAAAAAACCGCCTTTCTTCGAACACTCTTGAACTTATTCACCAACGTGGCTTGGCACATGCCTTAGGCAACCGCAAGTGAACGTCCGAGCTGGCAAAACAATACAGAGACGCGATCAAGGATGACCTCAAAGACAGGAGAGCAGAGGTGCTGGTAGATGCGGTAGAAGACGGGAAAAGCATTCGTAATAACTGCCTGTCCTTCACCAACTACAAGAGCAAGATGACTGCCCCCTGACATCCTGATGGATCTATCACATCTTCCAGAAGGGCAATGGAGAAGATTATTCATGACTTCTACTCAGATCTCTTTAATAGCCATGTCCACTTACCCACATACCAAATTCCGCAGAATGGATATGTTGTACCCAATGTTCTCCCTTCCGAAATTCAACATGCCATTTCGTCGGTAAAGAAACAAAGAGCACCTGGCCCAGACAAGGTCAGACCTGAACACCTGAAGAACTTACCATCAGTACTCATCAGTACATCGGCTCGGCTCTTCACACGCTACCTGTCTGAATGCAAGTTTCCATCTCAATGGAAAACCAGCAAGACTGTACTACTATACAAGAAGGGAGACATCCACGACATTGGCAACTATCACCCAATCTGCCTATTGTCTGTCATCTACAAACTGTTCACTCGAGTCATCCTGAATAGGATTAGCAGAACACTAGATGAAGGACAACCATGTGAACAAGCCGGGTTCCGAAAAGGATTCAGTACCATCGACCATATTCACACAATAACTAAGCTCATTGAGGTTTCTCAGGAGTTCAAGATGCCGCTCTGTCTAATGTTCACTGATTTAAAGAAGGCCTTTGATTCTGTTGAGACGAAAGCGGTCATAGAAGCCCTAGCCAATCAGGGCATACAAACTCAATACATCAGGATCCTCAGTGAGCTCTATTATGGATTCACTACCAGGATCTCACCGTTCTACAAAGAAGTAATCATCCATGTCAAGAGAGGGGTTCGGCAGGGTGATACCATTTCACCAAAACTCTTCAGTGCCACCCTCGAGAACATCATGTGACGACTGGAATGGGAAGGAATGGGAGTGAAGATAGATGGTCGGCAACTACACCACCTCCGCTTTGCTGATGACATCGTTCTAATAACACCAAACATCAGCCAAGCGGCACAAATGCTGACTGACTTCCACCGTGAGTGTGGAAAGGTCGGATTACAACTGAATCTCAAAAAGACAATGTTCATGAGAAACAGTCTTGTTCCTGATGCTCCATTCACTCTCAACGGAACCACCATCTCCAAATGCAACAATTATATATACCTGTCACTGTCACTGTTCTCCCATTGTTCATGGATTTGCTCGAGTGGGCCCAGTAACGTGTCCATTGGAGACTTTGTTGTTACTGTGTTTGGCATATCGAGTACGTCACGGGGAGCTTGCCAGGCTCTGCCATGTGGGCGAGATACTCTCGGTAGCTTGCCGGGCTCTCCGAGAGGGGCAGAGGAATCGAACTCAGGTCGTCCATGTTGGCTGCGTGTAAGGCAAATACCCTACCGCTGTGCTATCGCTCCAGCCCCTTATATATACCTAGGTCAAGAAATCAACATGATGAATGACCTGGCACCCGAGTTACGCCTGAGGAAGACAGCGGCTTGGAATGCCTTCAGGAGCGTTGAAGAAATAACTAAGAGGACAAAGAACCTCCAGCTCTGAGCACATCTCCTCGATTCCACTGTTCTTCCTGCATTAACATATGCCTCAGAGACCTGGGCCCTATGAAAACAGGATGAGAATGCTATTCGGGTCTCCCGAAGAGGAATCGAAAGAACTATGCTTGGAGTATCACGCTTCACTCAAATGAGAGATAGAATCCAGAGTTCCTATCTCTGTCAACGCTCAAGAATCAGGGATGCTGTCTCATTTGCCAAGGCATCAAAACTCAGATGGGCAGGACACGTAATGAGGTTTACAGACGACCGCTGGACTAGAGCCATTACTGACTGGATTCCACGGGACGTCAAAAGATCGCGTGGACGCCCACCTACAAGATGGTCAGACTTCTTTGTCAAGACCCTGAATAAATGGTTTGAGGTTGCATGTTCCTAGAACAAGCAGATGCCATTGGGCTACGCTAGCATGCAACAGGGATGAATGGAGACGTTATTGGCACCGGTCGAGTAAATTGATGAATAACGGGGTATCAAGTGATCAAGTGATCCTGGTCCTACGTTCCTCAGCATGATTCTGAATAACCTCTTTAGCATATTTCCATTTCCTAAACTTCTTCATTTTACAGGATCAAGAAGATGGATCACAGGCTGTTTGCAGGAGTGTTCAATGGGCACAGTGTGGTCTTGAGAACCTCGAGAATAGTCAGAAAGCAGTGAGCCTGGGATAGCCCCTGAGCTCTCTTGGGTGTGGCCTAAACAAACAAGTTTATCTTCACAGTGATTTATAGTTAATTATATCACTTGATTTTTGTTTATTTGGGTTTGGGGTCCACACTTGGAGGTGCTTGGGGGTGCTCCTGGCAGTACCTGTATGCAAAGCATACATTCACCCTGTTGAATTTTCTGGCCCAGTATTTTTCAAACAGCATGAAATGCAGCAGAGAACCAGCACCATCTTGCTTCAGGTTGATGAGTCTTAAAGATTTGCGTCTTCCTTTTTCTTAAAGCTCTCACATTATCTTCATTTCCCACTAGCAGTGAGTTAAGTTCAAATAAAATGATGCAGTAAACGTTTCTGAGCACATTCACATCATTTAAAAAAAAAGACTGCGAATATTCTCACAATTATGCTTTTGTAATAATCAGGGCAGGCTAAACATTCACTATAATAAAACCACGCATGTGTCCTCAGACCTAGTTCTTTACCAACCTAGGTCTGGTCTTAGAAACGCTGGTAGGTAAGGGGTTGAAGCAATAGTACAACCGGTAGGGCACTTACCTTGCATGTAGCCAAGCCTGGTTTAATCCCCCGCATCCCCTATAGCCCCTCAAGCACTGCTGCGGAACCACAGAACCAGGAGTAACCCCTGGGTGCTGTTGGATGTGCCCCCACCACACACACACACACACACACACACACACACACACACACACTAAAGGGAGGGAGGCAGGCAGGCCAGGGCAAGAGTACAGCGAGTAGGATGCTTTCCTTGCATGTGGTCAACCTGGGTTCAATCCCCCGCACCCTCTGATGGTCTCCCAAGCCGCACCAGGAGTGATCCCTAAACACAGAGCCAGGAGTCAGCCCTAAGCACCACAAGGTATATACCCCAAACAAGCAACTCATCATAATCATCATCGTTCTCACAACAATAATAATAAATGAAACAGGGACCGGAGAAATAGTGCGGGCTTAGAGTGCCTACCTTGGCAAGCATATAGTACTGAGTTCAAATTCCTGTGTCCTGCATGAACTAAGTAGTACCAGCTGTGCCCCCTCACACCCAATACACAGCAACAAAAGGAAATACCATGGCCCAAATAAGTCATTCTTGATGGCCCTAAATAAGACTTAATCCCTAACCCAGTTGCAGTTTCAGTCTCTCCTAAAAATGGAATTTGCGGCCGCATGGGAGCCTTGTGGAGAGCCAGGTATGAGCCGGGGGTGATGGGGCGACTAAAACCTCATGGGAAGGGGGGCGTTCCGGCATGTCCTTCACGCCCTACCGAGGTCACCAGTTGCCCCCCACGAGCGGCTCTCCGACACGGCCACGACTCCAAAGCACAGAAACCAATCTCTTAACTATCTGACTTTCAGTAGAAATACTTCCAGGGTTAATAAGTAAAATAGCAGAAATCCAAATCCAAAACCATCATTTAATTCTTGAACCCAGCTGTAGAAAGCTAATCACTTCACAATGCTTTCTCAGCATGTCTGATGTGGGGGGGAGGGGGGTAAACTCTAAATAATAATGGTGCATCTTTTATCGAAACAATGAATCTAGTCAAAGTAGATAGAGTGTTAACTAGAATTCATCTGCCTCACAGCCATTGGGGGGGTGGGGGGTTTATTGGGGTTCTTCGTGGTGAAAAATAAGTATTGGTAAAGGGAAGTGTGTTTGATATTTGCATGACCGAGACCTAAACCTGAAAGCTTTGTAACTTTTCCCACAGTGATTCAATAAATAAATAAATTATAAAAAAAAAAAGATATTTAGTAAAGGCTGAGCAAAGACCAAACTGATGTGGGAGATTTTGAGGCTCCAACGCAGTGGGAGAGGGCTGGGTGCTCGAGGCCCAGGTTCATGTGGGAACTTTGCCGGGAGAGTCTGGAGGAAAGAGGACGTGAAACAAGGACACTGCCGAGAGGAAAGTGCCAGGGTCAGAGGCTCGGTGAGGCAGACAGACGGAAAGCGCAGACGCAGGGGGTGTCTGGGTTCCTGAGAGAACAAGGCCAGGCCCAGGAGGCAGGGCTCGGGGCTTGGAAGGGGTGGGAAGGGAGGGCAGGGCAACCTGAGGCCTAGGTGGGTAGAGAGACCACCCAGGCCTGAGTGGGGCAGGGCTGGTGGCAGCCATGCCTGGGGTCCCCTCCCCCGCCCGGGACCCTTTGTGACTCCTCAGGGTTCCGTGATGTCAGCAGAGTGTATATAAACGGGCCTGCTGCTCTCTGGCTCACTTGCTACAGGCAAGCGATTAGTTCTCTGATCTCATGCAGATGGAGTCTTACTCTTATTCTCCCATAACCCCTCAACCCCTTCCCGAATGGCTGGTTCTCTCGCTTGAGGATCCGTACCTCTTGGGTTTTGTAATAATCCTCTTTTTTATTTTGCTAAAGAGACTTGTTGCCCGTTTGCGGTCAAGGAACAGCACCAGGTAGAGTCTGGAGACGTCCTGGGGGACTGAGGGCAGGTGTGTTTGTAAGAACCAGACAGGGCGTCTGACCAGGAGAGAGCATCAGTCCTCTTGCAGACGTGAGGGACAGGGCGGGGTATTCCAGGGGACCCAGTTTACCTCAGGCTCAGAGTCTGTGAGGGAGAGCCCCTCAAGCACTGTGGGAGAAATGGCTGTCCCTGTGGGATCCCAGCTCTGGGGAGAGTACACGCTTCCCCCCTGACCTGCGGTCAGTGACCCCACAGGGCAGGGGTCACTCACAGAGGCCTCCATGGGGGCCAACAGGACAGTGGTGACCTGAGAGACCCTCAGAGGGGGCCCAGGGCCTCTGTGAGGCAGCACAGCGCTCAGACTGGTCAGGGTGCTGCTGGCACCAGGGTGCTGGCCTGACAGGGACTGAGAATGGGGTCAGCGTCCCTGGAACTGAATCAGGCGAGAGCCCAGACTGCAGTTCCCTGCAGGAGCCCAGGCCTGGGGGGCTCCTTGAGCTTCTGAGAGGCCCAGGCCCTCACTCCCCCTTTCTTCTCAGCACTGGAAGGCTGCCTGGACGAGGAGAGGCTCTGCACACACCGAGGTGAGGGGGCTGGCTTTCCCCCCGGGGCTCTGCCAGGGGACACTCCCTGTCCTGGCCATCCAGGCCAGGCCACAAACTGAAGATGTCCCTGTGGACAGCGGCCCCCTGAGGGCACTGGAGGAGAGTCGGGAGGGAGACAGGCAGATCCTGAGGCCTTGGGGGTCCCAGTGAACCACACCAGGGTGGGAAGCAGTGGAACTGCCCTCCAGGTGGGCGGGGGACACAGGACAGACCACGGTTCCCAGGAGAGTGGACGGTGGGTCCCTGGGGGACATTGGGCTCTGGGCTCCCGGAGCTGGTGTGTCCGGCCTTTCCCCAGAAGCAGGTGCCTCAGGGAGCCTCGGGCACGGGCTGGGCAGGTCTTGGGGCTCGGACAGGGCTGGCCAGGAAGCTGTGCATGGCCCCTGACAGCCCCTCCTCCCTGGCAGGAGCCCTTCTTCACCGGGGAGAGCCCTGGGCGGACCAGGTGACTATCCCCCGCCTCCCCAGACAGGTCAGGGCCGAGTGCTCCCATGGGGACAGTGCAGTGAGCCTCGAAATGGGGGGGGGGGGGAGGCCCTGGGAGAGGGCAGAGGCTACTGTGACCTCATGGACCTGAGGAGGGGTAGGGGCTCAGGCTGTGGGGGTGCCGGGGGTCTCCCACCCATGTCAGCAGGGGCCTCTACTCTCTCCTCCTGGATCCAGCCTTGTGCCCTGTGTCCTCTGCAGACAATGGCTCCAGCCACAGGACCCCCCCCCCCCCCCCACCCGCCAGCGCACGCCTCTGTACTAGGTCCCCGCGTTTTCTGCACGCTGGGGACGAGCCGCAGAGCATCCCTGCCTCTTCGTGGCCCCGCTGCCCCGGGCGCCCATCAGCTGTGCTCCAGCCTTAGATCCACCTCTCCACCTGCCCCTGGGACGCAGAGGGCAGGCAGTGGCTCTGCACGGACTGCTCCACCCTGGCTCCAGGCCCCTTCTGGGCAACAGCCTGGTAGGTCCCCCTCTGGCGCCTGGGGTCTCACGGCTGCCGGCTCAGCTCTCAGGGGTCGGCCGAAGAGTCGGGGGCGTGAGGCAGAGCCGGGCCCAGAGCTCCCAGGGGACCCTGTGTCCTGCCAGGCCCCGCGGTGAGTCCTGGTGCCCCTGGGCCCCGGACCGCCGTGCAGACCGTGGCCTCCACGCCCCGACGCGAGTCAGGGTGCTGCTCCTCTGGGGGGCAGGCGCGTGGGGGGCCCGACGCCCAGCACCTCTCCAGGTCGGGGTCCTTCTGGCGTGGCAGCAGCTCCCTGGGGCTCCGGCCCCTCTCCACGGCGAGGAGTCGCGGAACCCAGAACACGACCGGGCTGCGCTCCCTGCACTCTGTGCGGACACTGGCTGTTTGCCCGCAACGCCGTCTGCCAGGCCCCCGGCCCGGCCCTCTATGTCCCGGGCCTGTTCCTTCTCTCCTTCTGCCCTGCCCAGCCTCCCGCAGGCCGGAGCCCACCTCGGGCCGCGGCTGCCCGCCCGTTCCCTCCTTCCGTCCGGGGGCTCCCGGGGGTGCAGCAGCCAGCCTCCCCCGCTGCGAGCCAGGCCTTCCCCAGGACCAGCGCCGAGGGGGCCGAGGGCCGGGCCAGTGCTCCAACAGTCCACAGTGGCCGGACGGGCCTCGTGGGCAGAGGAGGGGAAGGTGGTGGCCTTCTCGAGCTGAACAGGCGGGGACGGAGCCCAAGCGGTCCCCCACCCTCTCCAGCGCAGCGCAGCCGCCCGGCACGACGGCTTCCGCAGAAGGCCGCAGCGGGTCTTTCGCTGCTCGGGTTCGGGTTTGAGGAGAGCGAGTAGAACGGTGGGGTCTAACTAACCAGAGTAAAAAATAAAATTTAAGAAATGTTCAAAAAAACGGAATTTGCGGGGAGGGGCATTCCACTCGGTGCTCGGGCCACTCCGCGTGTAAGAACAGCACCTTCACCACTGTTCTGTCTGATGCCTCCGAACGTGGAATTTTAACTCATGAATCCTTTTGTCTGTTCTGTTTTTTGGTTTGGGGGCCACACCTGGCGATGCTCAGGCATTACTCCTGGTTCTGCGTTCAGGAATTACTCCTACTCCTGGTGGTGTCTGGGAAGACCACTTGGGATGCCGGGAATTGAACCTGGTCGACTGCATGCCAGAATCCTACCCTCTGTACTATCTCCCAGCCCCCTAAACGAATGAATCTTGAGGATCCTAGTCAGTATTACTGAGGTAGTTATGTACTGGATAAGACCCCACAGCCTTCAGGAAAGGTGACTTTGCATAATAATCTTTTCCTATTCTTTTTTTGCTTTCTGGGTCACACCCGGCAATGCTCAGGGGTTACTCCTGGCTCATGCACTCAGGAATCACTCCTCGCGGTGCTCGGGGGACCATATGGGATGCTGGGAATCGAACCTGGGTTGGCCATGTTGGCTGCGTGCAAGGCAAACGCCCTACCCGCTGTGCTCCAGCCCCTTTTCCCATTATTCTTTTAAACTATAAAAATCTTGCAATGCTTCTCTATTTCCTAC